GCTCGAAGCATCCGAAGCGGACGAGTCAAGTCAGCCGGATGTACCACGACGTGTAACTGTGTAGTTCTACGACAACGGTGTGACAGTTCCTAGAGTACCATCAACTCCCGTGAACCCTAGAGGGTTTCCTGCTGAACCAGCTTCTCCAGAGTTCCATACGCCATCTGGTAGCCCGGTTCTTCAGAATACGAATTCCTCTCCATTCTTCGTGCGTCGTTCAACAAGAGAACGCCGCCCTCCCCGCAAGTACTCTCCGTAAACGATTCATTCCGAAATGAGGGAAGAAATGTTGTGTATGTAAAATTACTTTCTGGCATCACTGCCGTTCAGTTATCAAATGTAAAACAAAAAGATATTATCGTTTTTTCGTCGGTAATCGTTTTATTCGCTTTAGACGGTTCGACTATGATAACCGGATAATATAAGTTTTAAAAATTATTCGTGGCAGTGATGGAAAAGTTCGCGAAAAATCACTATGACTCATGAACTTTTCCCTTGATGAACTTCGTGAAATATCACGAACTTTTCCAACACTGATTCGTGGTTGTCTTCTCTATTTCCGATATCCCAAAATACGCTACAGTATCTTTATTCCTACTAGGAGGAAATTAACAAACTTTTCATAGCTTATATTTGAAGTGTATTGTTTACATCCTGTAAATTGCGTTATTGTCTGTTTCGATGCGGCTAATATTGAAGTGAGTCAAGTGAAGACGCGTGAAAAAATTTTGTACGCTCACACGGAAAATTTAGAGCTGTCCCATCGTGCTTTAGGAAAAATACTGCATATCAATATTTCAACCTATCAAGATTTATAAATAGGTTCAAGAACCGGTTGACATTATATCACAAGCACGGAGCAGGAAGGAAACCGGTAGCTGGATTACATGCATTCAAGGTTCGAAACTTCCCAAACTGCGATGAACGCCAGCATACTATTGCCAAAACCCACACGGAAATGTTGACCAGATAGAGTTTCAGTGTGATTGATGATGAAACATACGTCAAAGTTGACTTCCAGCAAATACCAGGACAGGAGTTTTAAACCAGAAAATTTAAGTATCAAGTGGATGATCGTTTCAAGAAAAAGAAAATGTCGAAATTTGCATCAAAATACCTTATTTGGCAGGCTATCTGCAACTGTAGAAAAATAAGTAAAATGTTCGTCACAAAGGGCACCATCAATGGTGAAATTTACACCTGCTGCCATTTTTGAGGCAGCACAGTGAAAAACCATTGTTTTGGCCGGACTCCAATTTTGACCTTCATGTCACTATTCTAATAGCGTGCTGGAATGGTATGAGGCTAAGTCGGTGAATTTCGTCCCAAAGGACATGAATCCACCGAACCGTCCAGAACTACGCCCAACCGAAAGCTATTGGCCCATGATGAAGTGGGAACTCAGTAAGACCAACCGGTTGGAAACTAACGATTTAAAATTGGCTCACTACTTGACTAGCCTATTGGTCCCAAGCAAATCGATTAACGTAACCCATTCTATTCGAAAGTCTAGTATTACACTATTGTCGTTTTCGTTTTGCGGTGTAGCACCGGTGTAGTGTAAGCAGGAATAAGTGCGAGCCTTTGACAGCTCAACAACATTTGTTTGTAAACAAAGGTGCATCCTATATCTACACCTTAAATTATTTCGGTGTACGGCAGTGTAGCACCGGTGTAGCTACACCGCAAAAACGAAAACGACGTATGTTTGTTTTGATTCGCTATGAATGTTTGACAGATAAATTGAGGGGTTCGTGGATTTTCCAATGTTTCGAGGGGTGCATCGATTAGCTTGAGACCGAAGAGAGTACCAGAGCTGAGCCAAAAAGTTGAGCACGTTTCTTCGGGACCTTCTGGTCTTAGAGTTACCTCTATGGTAAGACCAAGGAGAAAGTAAAGTATGCAATGAAGTAATGAAATTGGGTTGTTAGCAAAATGCTTGAATAAAACAGCAAAAAACGGTTATATTCCATTTAATTCCACTTAAATAATTTTGGTATCCATGACAGATACATATTTCGACAACAATGTGCAGTCTTCATCAGTGCCATTCCCACTTATGTCGTTTTCGTTTTTGCGGTATAGCTACACCGGTGCTACACTGCCGTACACCGAAATATTTAAGGGTGTAGATATAGGATGCACCTTTGTTTACAAACAAATGATGTAGAGCTGTCAAAGACTCGTGCTTATTCCTGCTTACACTACACCAGTGCTACACCGCAAAAACGAAAACGACATAAGTGTTTCGATGCGGCACATGCATTGCCGTTCATCCGCAAGCATAGGGGCAAAGTCATCTTTTGGCCCGAATTGGCCAGCTGCCACTACTACAAGGTGGTTCTGGAGTGGTATACTGCCAACAAGATCGATTTTGTCATCAATGAATCCTTCGAAAATTCAACCAATCGAAAAATAGTGGTAAATTTTAAAGCGGCGACTTTGACGAAGCGGCGGGGCAGTCAAGGACATCCAGCAAATGCGGGCAAAATGGAATAAATGCGCGGATTCCGTGTCCGTTTTCACTGTGGGGGCACTGATGGGCTCCATCAAGAGGAAGCTTCGAGGTTTCGTTCGAACTGGAGAAATGAAACCATTCAATGTTGTAACTTTGAAGTTTTAATAAAAGTACTGTAAAGCAACCATTAATGGGATTTTTAAACTAATTAAATCACGAATTACAGGTCTTTTTGTGCGTACCAATTTACTTTTAGTCAGCCTTTATCTGCAAATACAAATTTGAACTTACCCGGAGCATCCACCTTAAGTTTGGAAAGGTAAAATTTATGACCCGGAATTTGTCCAAGGTTCATTTTTACGTAATTTTCATCGTCCATAAAAATAAATCCGTTACACTTGGCCAGGCCTAGTTCGTACAGCTTCCTTGCACGGGTTTTGGCAAATAGGTTTTGTTTCAGCGTCCTATTGGGATGTTTTCTGGCATGGTACGACCGAAAACCTTCTCACCTATAGATTCACCGAACTGTACTGTACGCTGCACTGAACGTGTTCATCAAATCACGTTCGGAGATCCCAGAATTCTTTCGACTGCCCTAATGATCGTCGCTCGTAATTTTCGGTCATTTGTTCCACTTCTACGTTTGTTTTTCTTTTCGCAATCCAACGATAGTGTTTCCCGGTAAAGTTTAAGCAAGGTATTTACAGTCGATTTTGTAAATTTGAGAACATTTGCGTTCATTCCTCCTGACCAAGTTGAGTGTTCAACGTAAGTGTCACGTCTCTCACGTTCCATCTTCGACAACTGTTTGACTTGTGTATGAATCCTGATAAAAATTTCACCACTGAATAAACGATTCTTCCAGACCAAAACGCTTCCAACAGTTTCTTTCTGTGCGACTAGAGACTAGGTAATTAAAAAGTAGCGGCCAAATACTGACTGGAAGAGACTTTATTGTGATTAAAAATGCAGTTTCTTGTGTTTATTTTTGAAATCTGACACCTTGAATATTTCTGTAAGTCCCATTGACGAGAAAATTCCTGTATGAAATCCAAATCTTGGAACATGTTTAATGAGTCTTGAAGGTTGTGTCTGCAATATTAATATGTTTTTCTATGTCCACGATTTAGAAATGATTTTCCTTGAAATCATTTTTAAATTAATTCAAGATTTCGAGGTTCGGGTACCTTGAATAGAACAAATATAGTTATGTTACTTTCGAAATTTGACGTTAACGCTGGCTATAACTAGTACATTTTTTAAGTAGTGCCATAACTGGTACACGTCCCTTAGGGTGTTCACATACATTGCAGTATTCATTAACGTAACCGAGCAACTTGTAAACAATGTTGTTTACAACAATGGGTTTTTGTATACAATATTTGCTACAGTGCATGAAATGTCTCAGAACTTTACATGATATATAATGTAAACTTATATGATATGTGACGCTCCATTTATGTGCATCATACTGAACACAAATTTACACTACTTTTTTGAACTGTGCATAGCAAAACTCTCAATTAATAACTGTTGAAATGTTTAGATGTGTACCTGAAGCGGAAGAAAGTAATATTAATAATAGTAATAAAACTAATTATGGAAACCTAAAGAATGTCTCAGTATTTCAAGTTATTATATCAGTGTTTTACATTTTCATATGTTCTATAAGCTTTATTTTGGATTCTACTTCCATATTAAACTATAAATGAAATTCAATTATCTACAATAATGATCCAATTTTGTCAGCCCCTTTAGAAAATCTTTTTTTAATCTTCTTAATCTTGAAGATGAATAAGAAGGATTTGGGATTACGGTTATGTGAAATTATTGAAAGATAAAAGTTTGATGCGGTAGTATTAACTGTAATATTTTTGACTCAAAATTTCTGCATATAAATGTTATAAACAAAATGTTAACATCAAATAATTTCAACTCTCCACAACTCGATGTCCACTAACTCGATATCGAGTTATAGAACCATAGTAAAAAATATGTTCTTGGCTACTGTGATAACGATTTCGTATGAGATTGATGTTCTATAACTCGATGATTCTATAACTCAATTTTCCCTTCAACATCGAGTTGTAGAGAGTTCACTGTATTAACGATATCCATTTTTACTCAAACAAAAAAAACCCTCATATGTGGGCTCAATCCAATATCCTAGCCAACGCGCACCGCAAATGCGATACTTTCTGCACAATTTCGTTCAAAAATTCACATCCCATCACCACCATCATCACCACTAACCAGCACAGCGCCGCCGCCGCCACCGTACAAGTTCAATGCGAAGGTGTCTGTAGGGTGTTCAGTTTCGCATTCGTTTACAGCGTATTTATTTTTTTCGAATTTTCATTTCGTTATCACTTTTCCACCCACGCATACTCATACAGACAAGCATCAACATCCACCCACTCGAGACTCCTTTTTCGGCGGGCGCAGTCAACACGTGGTACACATGAGTGAATCCGTGCGCACGCTCGCAAGTCTATATATAAAAGCTAGGGCCCATGGTGGCCATCCTACCAGTCCGTTTCAATCCGGTAATCCGGTAGGGCGTTGTTACAGCCCCGAAAGCATAATACGAGCATGATGATGCCGAGATCCGATTTTGCCGTACGCGTGGTGCTATTGATAAGCCTAATTGTGAGTGATCAACGGGGATGGGTTTGGTGGGTTTTGTGATCGATTTTCGGTGACCGGTGAAGATCTGGTTGATGAACTGTGCTACCAAAAAGATGTTAGCGTGGTTTGGGTGGGGTTAACTAAAGTGAAACAGCCAAATATAAGGACAAAACAAGGACATTACAGAAATCTAGCAAGTGTTTGGAATAGGATGATTCCATTAGTGCTTATACCCAGAGTGAATGATCGATCGATTGTGCAGCCATGATTCTAATTGTGATTATTTCTCCTTCCGTTCAAAGTCCCTGGTGTGTGGAATCAAACCCGAAAGCAGTAAAAGCAGCAGCAGCCACCATAACAAGCATAGACCCAAAAGGTATGATGAGGACGAGCCTTCAGAACAGGTTTACTATGTTGACCAAATAGCATCTGATTCTGAGATTTCTCCCTGGACTTCGAATCGCATATTCGCCAAGACCACCGGTAAGTCCGACACTAATCGCATAAGTAGCTGGAGCAAATGAGTTTCTTGACTGGTTCATGGAGTTATCTCTTGTCGTTAAATTTTAGTAAGCAGCATGAATGTTGAGTTTTCTTTGCAGATCGTACTTTTAGCGAAGCTTTTAGTTACTCCAAAATGATTAAAAAAAACTTTGTAATTAAAGCTGTCTTAAGACGTATTTTAGAGACCCTATAAGGTTTGCTTGGAGAATTAAATTCTGAGACATCTCAGGATCCACATCTTCATAAAACAGCTATGAATTAATTACTTTTGGAAGTCCGTCATAGGGTAAATTGGCTGTTTATGGACCCTTTCCCTTTAGTGGACCGCTTACGGATTAATTTAATTTTGCACATCAATTGGAGCGATTTACCTATAAACTCCATCGGAAGACATCTTTTACAACTCATCTGCATCGGATTCATGGATTTGTCAAAACAAGGAGACAATACAGTTCTATATAAATTACGACGGGAGCTGCCAAATTAACAAAGGGTCCAAATAAGAGCACATTTTAACATTTCCTTTACTGGACCATTTGTTCAAGAGGCAATTTAACAAAAGATTAGACATTTTTGCCTGTTTTCAGATTGAATTAAATTTAATGCAACATCAACTACCTTGTTTATAAACTGAATTCTTATGTTGAATATGATTTTATTCTGACGGTCCATCATATGATGTATTAAAGGATAATGGGGATTTCAGTTTATTATGTAGATTTTCGTGTGTAAAATAAATTAATTTATTTAGTTCGATTTGAGTTCGGTTGTGTTTTTATAAAACCATTTAAGGAACTGTTTTTTTCCTTTGTTTGGAACATAAATCCTTTACGACCGACCAGTAATTCGATCTATTGTAGTACATTTCTTGTGCTTAGTTTAGTGCATGTTGTAACAGTCCATTAGTCTTTATGATGAATGATGAAGTATCCAGGTTTGATACAATTGACATTCTTGTCTTTATCGCAAGGAAACACTTCTAATTGTAAGGTTAAATCATCTCTGAGAAGATCCAGTAGAACATACATGTGCCAGTTATGGCCATACGATCCAATTATGGTGTTTTCCAATTATGGCCTATGGGATTCCAATAAGCCAAAATTGGAACACACGATAATAGGTATATCCATGACTGGTACATGTAACCTATGATAATTCCAAAATGGATACTTAGTAATTGGATAGTTATGCGACTGGTATTGTTGTACAGGAATTGTATTGGCTTTATCAGTTTATTGAGAAACTGGGTATTTATTTGGCCTTTTTCATGGCAATTTGTAAATATCATAAAACGGTGGACGTTTATCCCTTGTAAAAGGCCAAATAAATACGGACAAACACGTCGAGCAACCGTTTTTAACCGTTTCCATTCCCAGTAGACTGAGACATCCAGTACAATTACAGTATTGTTACTTAAGGTACAAAAGTGAAGCATAAGTGTCTATAACTTAACTTCAAGACATATCAAACTTTTGTTACTTTGACTATATGTTTTTTAGTATTACTTCTACGTGAAGTCAACGATTTACATAGTTGAAGATGCTAATTTCAAATAACAGACTGTAGTGGTAATTTTTATACGATAGATGGAGTAGATGAAAGCATAGAGTTGATAGTTCCGTTAGAGTACGGCAGTGTGAAGATTGTATATAGATATTAGAATAGCGAGCTAGGACAACTTTTAAGGAAGGTACAAATCGGTTTTTTCATCTCTCTTTACCAAACTCCCCCTTTGGAGAGGGATGGTGAGGGGTGTCCCCCCCCCCCGCCACCACTGGCAAAAAGAGATGAAAACCGACCCGCTCATGTACTGGTTCATCTGATTCAGAACCAGATTGATCTAATAACAAACTGAATAAGTGTAATTTGCGTATATATTGACGCTTTAATTCGACTGTTTTCAATTGATTTAATAAAATGATTTATTAGACGTCTTACAAATGTTTTGTAGCTGTATTATTTATTAGATTTCATTGCATTGCTTTACAATATTGCTGTATAAAGGTGAATACAGTCAGCAAAATAGCTCTTATACCACTATGCGTTCAGGTTTTAATTGCATGCTTTGTAAATGCTTTAGAAACGACGTATTCATTATTCCAAAACACTGGTTCAGTCTAACAACTAGACGCAATCAGTAGAGTAGTGGTTACCGTTTCCGCTTTCCAAGTAGAAGGTCGCGAGTTCAATCCCAAGGTCAACCTTTTTTTTATTTGTGTTCTAAATCATAATCATCGATCACATCCCAAGTAACAAATCTAGAGCTACTTGGCTATATTCCAAATTTATAAAGGTTTTATTGCAGCTGCAACCATTACCTACAGCTTTATGACGGTCATATACAATGCAAGTCATGAAACATTCTTATAGCTATCTACAAAACCCCTATAAAGCTAATTAAAAAACCAACTGATGCTTATGCTATTTTCACTTATGAAAGGTTTTATGATTGCTTTGAAGTATACAAAAAAGTAATATAAATTGCCCTTATAAAACCAAAAAAATAATCCTTTCGTTGCTTTATAAATAAGCGCAATAAAACTAGTTGGCGATGAAACAGTTATTTTAAAACAATTATAAGCATTCAGTTGCGACTTGTCAGAAATGTAAATAGGTGGTTTATTTTTACAACATAGAAAAGAATCAAAACTTTCCGGTACTTCCAAGCGGAGCGCAAATAAAATCAACAAAATTGTTAGCATGAGCATGAAAACATTTCGTGTATACGTCTCGCTCGCATATACACGGGGTGACACGGTCGAATCTTGGTCGAAATGGTGACAGTCCTAGGGCAAAAAGGTTGAAATCACGCATAACTTTTCATAAAGGTTAATGTACCATTCAAAACTTTTCTAAATGTTTGTAAAATTCATGGGTTGCACCCGTAGAATAGGAATATAAAGGGTGATACGGTCAAAATTTGGTCAATATCAACTTGACGTATTTCTTTCAATTTTGCATTTAAAAAACCTGAACACCCCTCATTTTGAAGGTGTGTGTGTGTAGAATGTTGCTCCTATTTTGATTTTGGAATTCACTCTTCAGTTGTCAAAATGCCGTCCAAGCAAGAAGAGCAGCGTATCAAAATTTTGCTCGCGCATCGCGAAAATCCGAGCTACTCGCACGCAAAGTTGGCAAAATCGCTAAAAGTTGCCAAATCAACCGTTACAAATGTAATTAAAGTGTTTGGGGAACGTTTGTCGACAGCCAGGAAGTCTGGATCGGGGGGAAATCGAAAACCGGAAGCCGCTGAGACGACAAAGAGAGTTGCCGGTAGTTTCAAGCGAAACCCTAACCTCTCTCTCCGAGATGCCGCAAATAAGCTGGGTGTATCGTCTACAACCGTGCATCGAGCCAAAAAACGAGCCGGACTATCGACTTACAAGAAGGTAGTGACTCCAAATCGCGATGATAAACAAAATACGACGGCCAAAGCGCAATCCCGGAGGCTGTACACGACGATGCTGACGAAGTTTGACTGCGTGGTAATGGACGACGAAACCTACGTCAAAGCCGACTACAAGCAGCTTCCGGGACAGGAGTTTTATACGGCAAAAGGAAGGGGAAAGGTAGCAAATGTTTTCAAGCACATGAAACTGTCAAAGTTCGCAAAGAAATATCTGGTTTGGCAAGCCATCTGTACCTGTGGCTTGAAAAGCAGCATTTTCATAGCTTCCGGGACTGTCAACCAAGAAATTTACGTGAAAGAGTGTTTGAATAAACGTCTGCTGCCTTTCCTGAAGAAACACGGTTGTTCCGTACTGTTTTGGCCGGATTTGGCATCTTGCCATTACGGTAAAAAAGCCATGGAGTGGTACGCCGCCAACAACGTGCAGGTGGTTCCCAAGGACAAGAACCCTCCCAACACGCCAGAGCTCCGCCCAATTGAGAAATACTGGGCTATTGTCAAGCGGAACCTAAAGAAGACCAAAAAAACTGCTAAGGGCGAGCAGCAGTTCAAGGCAAACTGGCTTTCTGCGGCGAAGAAGGTGGACAAGGTGGCTGTACAAAATCTGATGGCAGGGGTCAAGCGTAAGGCCCGGCAATTCGGATTTGGAAAAGCGGAAGCCTAACTGAATATTTTTCCTGAATTTTATACTAATTGAACTTGAAAAAGAAATTTAATTTGATTTTTTAAATAAACGATTTCACCGATTTACACGCGTTTTCCCTTGACCAAATTTTGACCGTATCATCCTTTACATTTGCCCTCAAATAAAAAAATGAATTCAAGCTGAACATTGCATTAGGTTCTAAGTAATATTGACAGATTCGCTTCGTCAACTTTCTCTTTGCATCCCCACGGTCATGTAAAGACATTCCCAGGTATTTTCAGCACATAAATCGATAAAAGAAGCTTTTATCTAGCATCCAATACGACAAACACATCAAGAAACGGTTCTGTGAATAAGTTATCAACGAAAGAGAAAGTTGCGATTTTTTGCGCTTTGGGAGATATTAATGTTCAAAAAGTGTTTTTTTTTTCTCGTTTTTTCAACAATATCCTTGAAATTTGAAGCTTAATCCAGTATGTTTCTTCACAAAAGCTATTTATTTAATGTATTTGCATAAGAGAATAATAAAAGATGCTAAAGCTGTAAGCAAAAAAAAACCGATACAGAAAAAAACCATATTTTCGACATTTTTTTAACTCCATATAACTTGGAACCAGTAGACAGTGGAAATTTAACGTCTTTGAAATAGCTGTTTATTTTGTCAAGATAAACAACTTTGCCCAAAACATCAAGTCTCCAAAACGTCAGAGAAAGAAGTTAGATTGTGGCACCATCTTTGCGGAAGAGTTTTGAACTATTTGTTTATGTCAATAGATGGTCCTTATTATGACGAGAAATTTTGCCGAACACCAAGTCGCGGAAATGCTTCGTTTCGGAGTTATTAATTTTGATCCGCTAGGTTGCATTCCTGACCCAGTGTGCAATGTAAGCATTAGACATTTTAAGAAATTGCGCTTGGTGTTT